CCGAAAATCATTTCTCATTTGCACAACATTTACTCGATCTGTGTAGACCCCACGCTGCTGCTGATCCAAGTATAAACATCCATCCATAATTTATTCTAATTCTAACTCAGCTCCGCCCTACTCGACTTTCCTCTACACGGCAATGGAAAACTTTTCCAAAAAATCTCAGGTTAATGATCGGGGAGTTAATTACCGTGGCCGGGAATTCAGCTTTCTGGTGAGAACAGACTCCAATTCATCATCAGATGTTGAATTGGAGTTTTTGGAAGATGGTGTTGAGGTAATGCCGGTAGGAATCAGCTCCGACGAGAACGAAACGTTTGACGGATCAGAATTAGACGATGAAGAGAAAGAAAACGGCGCCGGAAGTGCTGAGGAGAACAAGAGCTTTTGGGAGAGTCAACACCAGCTTTTGACGAGTACTCTGAATCGGAGTTGCTCTCTGGAATTGAAAATCCAAAATTCTGTTAAAGAAACATTGAAGGAAATCGAGAGAACCGGAGGAAGTGTATGTGCTTGTCGGAAGCCGGCGTTCCGAAGTTGCAAAAGCTGCTTCATGAAAGAAGTATCTCACCGGCTCCAAAATACAGGTTTCAACTGTGCCGTTTGCCGGTCGAAATCGAGAACCTCACCAAATATCCCTTCAGGTATGTTTTTAAAAATTTTTAATTTGTCTTATAGTAATAAATTAAGATTTAACTTGAATACATTATTGTAGTCCGGTAGTCACCTTTTTTTATAAATTTTAATTATTAATAATAAATTAAAACTTAATTTAAAGATTTTATTATGATTTAGTGATTATTTTTTTTAAAAAAAAAATTTTATATTAAATTTAATAGATGTGAAGTTTAAAACCCTCAAAATTCAAAACAAAATAATTAAAACTTAACTCAAGCATAATATTATGTCTTGGGACCCTCGTCTGATGATTTGTTTTATACGGTCCTGTGTAAAACATTTCTGTTGTGGAGAATTTTATACAAACACACTAATTTGTCAACATGGGATTCATGATGAGGATGAGGATTCTTATGATTTCGATCTGAATTTGTTTTGCAGGGGAACATATATTTCTTGACTTGATAGAGAATTCCACGAAAGGAAAAGTGAGGGTCATAATCGAGTTGAACCTCAGAGAGGAGTTCGAAATGGCGAGAGCAAGCGAGGAGTACAACCGGCTAGTCCAGCAGCTACCGGAGGTGTTCGTCGGTAAGGTGGAGAGATTAATGGACGTGATCGAGATCTTGTGCTCCGCGGCAAAGAAGTGCATGAAGGAGAGGAAGATGCACATGGGGCCATGGAGAAAAAAGAGGTATATGCAAGCCAAGTGGCTTAGCGCAAGTGAACGGACAACATCTTTGCAACCTATACCGGCAGGGTACTCCAGACGGTTGCAGAAGCCGAAGGCGTCGATGTTGACAGTTGATTTGTTAGAGAAGATGGCCAATATGCACTGTAAAGCGGTGGCAGTGATCTGAATCAACTTTTTTTGGTAGTTTGGTTTTAATTTCTTTCTGATTATATGATCTTCAACGATCAATAATGTGAGAGTGGGTATACACATATATATATGGATATAGTTTGGGGATGCATGGTAAGGAGGTAAAAGTTTACGTTCGTTGAGCTACGAGAATTTTCGTTTTTAGAAGGCAAGGGCGTCCTGATCGAGCAAATTTTCAAGCAATCTTTGAAGTCGTACAATCACATGGATGTTGTATGTTAAATAATAATAATAATAATAATATAACTGGTGCTACTTTGTGTTTGAATCTATAATCTTAAGTGGAGTATTTATATTTTATTCAATTTGATTGATTTGATCAAGTTAACACAATTTAATCAAAAATTAAACTAAATTATATAAAATTAAATTTATTTGAATTATAAAATTTTAAAATCAATATAATTAATTTAATTTATGATTTTAGTTTCAAATTACTTAATCAATATAATTAATTTAATTTATGATTTTAGTTTCAAATTACTTAAGTTATCCGATTACAAGATAAAGCTCAATTATAAGATGATTAAACAATATAATATATTTTTTATAGTATTTTAAATTTGAGATTGGTGCTTATTCACCTTACTTTAAAAAGAGAATTTACTTTAAAATTATGTCATTTTAATAAAATATTACAAGAAACAATCAAACACACTTTAATTCATACTTTAAAAATAGAGTATTTATTCTTTTTTATTGAGAATTTATTTAAATAATGTAATTTCGAAATAATTTTTCTCTTAATTTTTTTTAGATAAGGCAAATAGATACTTTTTTTTTTTTGGTTTTACAAGATAAAAACTTTATTAACTTAATTAAAAAAATAAAAGTAGAGTATACTCATATTCTCTAATTTATTTTTTCATTTTAATCATATACTCTAATTATAATTATAAATTTCTAATTTGCCTACAATTTTACCTTTTACAACTGATTTGTACGTAACTCTATTTTTAGAACCTTAAATTTTTAATTTATTTCTAAAATGATATTATAATTCTCCTAACTAAACCTTAAAGAAGTACAATTATAGAAGCCTTAAAATTTCACAATAAAACTAGTCTTGATATTTAGTTATTCTTGAATGTTTGGTTGAAGAGTTTTAAATTTAGATTATGAATGCTTCTAATCATTTCTACTTATATTCATTTTAAATTTTATTCATTTTTAATAGAGTTTGAAAAATGAGATTGATTCATCAGTGCATTATGAAAAATAAAAGCTAATTTAATTTAATTTTTTAAAATTATTTATACTATGCTTGAAACTTATTTAATTTCAAAAAGAACTATTTGTACTATATCTTATTTATACTATACTTGTACTATATCTTATTTGTACTATACAAAAAGATATAGTACATTATGATATTATTTGTACTATATCTTATTTAATTTGATTGATTTGATCAAGTTAACACAATTTAATTAAAAATTAAACTAAATTAATATAAAATTAAATTTATTTAAATTATAAAATTTTAAAATAAATATAATTAGTTTAATTTATAGTTTTAGTTTCAAATTACTTAAGTTATCCGATTATAAGATAAAGCTCAATTATAAGATAATTAAACAATATAATATATTTTTTACAGTATTTTAAATTTGATATTGGTGCTTATTTACCTTATTTTAAAAGGAAAATTTACTTTAAAATTATGTCATTTTAATAAAACATTACAAGAAATGATCAAACACACTTTAATTCATATTTTAAAAATAAAGTATTTATTCTTTCTCATTGAGAGTTTATTTAAATAATGTAATGATCAAACACACTTTAATTCATACTTTAAAAATAAAGTATTTATTCTTTTTCATTGAGAGTTTATTTAAATAATGTAATTTTGAAAATAATCTTTTTCCTAATTTTTATAAGAGAAGGCAAATAGATACTATTTCTTTATTATTTTTTTTTTGGTTTTACAAAAACTTTATTAACTTAATTGAAAAATAAAAATAGAGTATACTCATATTTTCTAATTTATTTTTTCTTTTTAATCATACACTCTAATTATAATTTTAAAATTTTATTTTGCCTACAACTTTACCTTTTACAACTGGCTTGCAACTCTACTTTTAAAACCTTAAATTTTTAATTTGTTTTTAAAATGGTATTATGATTCTCCTAACTAAACCTTGAAGAAGTACAATTATAGAAGTGTTAAATTTTCATAATAAAACTAGTCTTAATATTTAGCTATTCTTGAATGTTTGGTTGAAGAGTTTTAAGTTTGGATTGTGAATGCTTTTAATCATTTCTAGTTATATTCGTTTTAAATTTTTTTTAATTTTTAATAGAGTTTGGAAGATGAGATTGATTTATTAGTGCATTAAGAAAAATAAAAGCTAATTTAATTTAACTTTTACAAATTATTTGTACTATACTTAAAACTTGAAGTCATTTTTTATTATCTTC